TAAAAAGAATTTAATTTATATTAATAGCTATTAATAACTAAAATATTTATTTTATTTTTTATAGTGCTGCTTTAACCGCATCTGCAGTCTGCAACGTGTATCAAATCAGTCGACAGCTCAGTGCCTTCCCTTCATGCCTGCTTATTTATTTTTTTTATTGCTGATACCGTTTTCCTCTGGATTTTATGTGAGCATAGACTCGAATGATGAGGAATGCTTTTTTGATCGAGTTAAATCTGGGACTAAAATGACTTTATATTTTGAAGTTGCTGAGGGAGGCTTTCTCGATATTGATGTACGAGTAAGTTCTAAATACATCTATATAAATTAAGATAATTGGACCTGATGAAAAGGTTCTATACGAAGCATCAAAAGAGTCCAGCGGTAGGCAAGCCTTTACTGCCTCTGCGGATGGGGAATACAAATATTGCTTTGGCAACAAGATGAGTACATTGACTCCGAAAGTCGTTATGTTTGACATGGAGATTGAACCTGAGCGCCTAGAAAATTTAGAGAATGTTACAGGTACTTATCCACTCAACTAATTTTTCAGAGTCCGAAGGTAAACTATTTAAGATGATTGGTGATCTCTCTCTCGCTGTTTTGGGTGTTAAGCACGAAATGGACTACATTGCTCTTCGATCAAATATACACAGATCAAGTAAGACTTACATTTTCCTATCTTTTAGTAAGTGAAAGTACCAACACTCGTGTCGTTCTCTGGGCGGCTTTTGAAACTATGATACTCGTCACGATGAGCGTGGGCCAAGTAATCTACCTTAAGCGTTTCTTTGAAATAAGAAGAGTGGTCTGATTCATGGCGTTTTCTGGAACTGTACAGTTTAGATTCATTTTCGCATTTTTATCCCCTGAGAATAGTTCTTTCTGTGTAAACGAACCCTTCGATGTCGTTCCCTTGCTTCAAATTTGTTCCACCATATTCTGCGATTGGTTTTGGTCCCTCATATGTTATACATTCATTAGGCTTTTATAAATCTTGTTTTTCCTAAAGAGCTGGCTT